AATCAACCTAGGTATCCAACAACAGATAAATGGATAAAGAAAATGTGGTATGTGGCCAGGCACGGTGGCTCATGCCTGTAGTCCTAGCACTTTGGGAGGCAAAGGCAGGCGGATCACAAGGTCAGGAGTTCAAGACCAGACTGGCCAACATGGTGAAACCTCGTCTCTACTAAAAAATACAAAAATTAGCTGGGCATGGTGGCTCGTGCCTGTATCCTGATTGCCCCGATCTGATCACTGTAAACTGTATGTATCAAAACAACACTATAAAATAAAATGGGCCAGGTGTGGTGGCTCATGCCTATTATCCTAGCACTTTGGGAGGCCAAGGTGGGCGGATCATGAGGTCAGGAGAGTGAGACCATCCTGGCTAACACGGTGAAACCCCATCCGCACTAAGAATCAAACAATTAGCTGGGTGTGGTGGCATGCATCTGTAGTCCCAGCTACTCGGGAGGCTGAGGCAGGAGAATCACTTGAACCTGGGAGGCGGAGGTTGCAGTGGGCCAAGATTGTGCTATTGCACACCAGCCTGGGTGACACAGCAAGACTCCATCTCAAAAATAAATAAATAAATAAATATTAGGGGGTGGGGGCTAGGGGAGGGATAGCAGGAGGTGGGGAGACTGGGGAGGGATAACTTTAGGAAAAATACCTAATGTAGGTGACGGGGGTTGGGGGTGGGTGGCGGCAGCAAACCACCATGGCATGTAACAATCCTGCAAGATCTGCACATGTACCCCAGAATTTAAATAAATAAAATGTTTAAAAATTAAAAATAAATATAGCTACTCCTGCTTCTTTTTCGTTTCCACTTGCATGGAATTTTTTTTCCATCCCTTCACTTTTAGTCTATGTGTGTCTTTATAAGTGAAGTGGGCGTGTTGCAGACAGTATGTAGTTGGGTCTCGTTTCTTTATCCCTTTGGCCACTCTGTGTCTTTTAAATGGAGAATTATATCCATTAACATTCATATGATTACTGACTACCACTGCAGTTTTGTTGCTTGTTTTCTGGTCGTTTTGTAACTCCTCTCTTCTTTTTCTTTCCTATTGTCTTCCTTTGTAGTAAAGTGATTTTCTCTCTTAGCATGTTTTAATTCATTTATTTTTAAGTGAATATATTATAGGTTTTGGCATTATGATTACCTTGAGCTTTACAAAAAACATCTTATGGAGATTATAACAAGCTGGCTTAAGGAGATGACAGTTTATCTTAGATCATAAAGAATAGAAACAAAGAAACTTGGAAAAAACTCTGCACCTTAACTCCTTCCCCCACCTACTGCATTTTGACTTTATGTTGTCTCAATTTACATTTTTTTTTTTTTTTTTGAGGATGGAGTTTCACTTGTTCAAGCAATTCTCCTGCCTCAGCCTCCTGAGTAGCTAGGATTACAGGCACGCGCCACCATGCCCAGCTAATGTTTTGTACTTTTAGTAGAGATGGGGTTTCACCATGCTGACCAGGATGGTCTCGATCTCTTGATCTTGTGATTCACCCGCCTCGGCCTCCCAAAGTGCTGGGATTACAGGCTTGAGCCACCGCGCCCGGGCCCAATTTACATATTTTTATATTGCCTATCTCTTAACAGGTTGCTGTAGCTATTACTGTTCTTGATATTTTTGTCTTTTGGGCTTCATACTGGAGTTATTAGTGGACTTTACACCACAGTTATAGCTTAGAGTACACATTCATGTACTGAATTTTATCAGTGATTTTTAAACCTTGGTTTTCTTCTTACCTGTTAAGTGTTTTTTCTTTCCAGCTGAAGAACCTCCTCAGCATTTCTTGTAAGACGAGTCTGCTGGTGGTGAATTTTCTCAGTGTTGTTTGTCTGGAAGAAACTTTCTCTCTCCTTCATATTTAAAGGATGGCTTTGCTGGATACAGCATTCTTGAAGAGCAGAGATTTTTTTCCTTCAGCATTTTGAAAACACCATCCCACTCCCACCTGGCCTGGATAATTTCCATTAAGAAGTCTGTTGCTTGGCTGGGCCCAGTGGCTCACATCTATAATTCCAGCACTTTGGGAGGCCAAGACGGGTGGATTGCCTGAGGTCAGGAGTTTGAGACAATCCTGACTAACGTGGTGAAACCAAGTTTCTACTAAAAATACAAAAAATTAGCTGGGCATGGTGGTGTGCACCTGTAATCCCAGCTACTCAGGAGGCTGAGGCAGAAAAATTGCTTGAACCCGGGAGGCGGAGGTTGCAGTGAGCTGAGATGGTGCCATTGCACTCCACCCTAGGCAACAAGAGTGAAACTCCATGACAAAAAAAAAAAAAAGAAGTCTGTTACCAAACAAATTGGAACTCCTTTATATATTATTTGCTTATTTTCTCTTCCTGCTTTTAGGATCCTCTTTGTCCTTGAACTCTGCAAGTTTATTAAATGCCTTAGGGTAGTCAGATTTGTGTCAAATCTGTTTGGTGTTCTCTGACCTTCTTGTATCTGGATATTTATCTTTTTCTAGTTTTGAAAGTTTTTTTTATCTCTTTGAATAAGCTTTCTACCCCTTGCTCTTCCCCAACTCCCTCTTAGACACCAATAATTTTTAAATTGGGGTTTTTTTGTTTTCTGAGACAGAGTCTCACTCTGTCACCCAGGCTGCAGTGCAGTGGCGTGATCTCTGCTCACTGCAACTAATTTTTTTTGTATTTTTAGTAGAGACAGGGTTTCATCATTTTGGCCAGGCTAGTCTCGAAGTCCTTATCTCAAATGATCTATAGCATGGTGCTGCTGAAAAGCCACTCATATTTGGTGTCTCCTTTAGCCATATTGTAGGGCAGAGTTTCCAGAACTGGAGATGGTACTGCAGACTCCAGACCCCTGTCTCTGCCTATCCACAGGGATATTTCTCCCTCCAAGCACTCTCTATGCTTCCTGTGGGTTGAGATTTTTCTGCATCTATTGAGACAGTCATGAGTTTTCCCTTTATTCTCTTAATATGGCAGTAATATACAATTTAAAATACTTTAAAAATTGATACATTACTTGCATATAGAAAAGTGCATGAATTATAAATGTATTGTTTTGATGCCTTTTCAAAAATTGAACACACGCCGGGCGCGGTGGCTCAAGCCTGTAATCCCAGCACTTTGGGAGGCTGAGGCGGGTGGATCACGAGGTCGAGAGATCGAGACCATCCTGGTCAACACGGTGAAACCCCGTCTCTACTAAAGATACAAAAAATTAGCTGGGCATGGTGGCACGTGCCTGTAATCCCAGCTACTCAGGAGGCTGAGGCAGGAGAATTGCCTGAGCCCAGGAGGCGGAGGTTGCGGTGAGCCGAGATCGCGCCATTGCACTCCAGCCTGGGTAGCAAGAGCGAAACTCCGTCTCAAAAAAAAAAAAAAAAAAAAAAAAATTGAACACACTCATGTAAATAGTAGCTAGATCACTAAACAAAACCTTCCTAGCACCCTAGAAGCTCCCTCATGCCCCCTTACACTTACAAATTTCTAGTGTAAATCACCTTTGCTTTTCCTGGAACAAACAAAACCTAGTCCTAGTGTTTCATTTTTTTAATATACTGTTGATTTGGTTTGCTAATGCCGTGTTTACAGTTTTTATGCACCTCTGTTCACGAATGTGATTGGCCTGATAATTTCCTCCTTTGTATCCTTTTTTTATTCTCATCTCAACGTCAAATTTATACTAACCTAACAGAATGAGGTGGGGAAATATTCCTTCTTTTTCTTCCCTATGGAAGAGTTTGTATAAGATTGAGATGATCAATCACGAAAGTTCTGCAGAAATCACTGATAAAACTTCTGGGCTGTACTAGGGAAGTCAAAAGGCTACAGTGAGACGTGATCGTGCCACTGCACTTGAACCCGGACAAAAGAGTGAGACCCTGTCTCAAAAACACAAAACCAAAACCATGGGCTCTTTCCTCTGTCTTCCTTATTTGCCAGCTTACCAAAAAAAAAAAACTACTGAGCAGATAAAATAAGCTCAGGTCTCCAAATTTCTCAGTGAAATTCCCTCAACAGGCCGGGCGCGGTGGCTCAAGCTTGTAATCTCAGCACTTTGGGAGGCCGAGGCGGGCGGATCACGAGGTCAAGAGATCTAGACCATCCTGGTCAACATGGTGAAACCCCGTCTCTACTAAAAATACAAAAAATTAGCTGGGCATGGTGGTGCGTGCCTGTAATCCCAGCTACTCAGGAGGCTGAGGCAGGAGAATTGCCTGAACCCAGGAGGCGGAGGTTGCGGTGAGCCGAGATCGCGCCATTGCACTCCAGCCTGGGTAACAAGAGCAAAAACTCCGTCTCAAAAAAAAAAAAGAAAAAAAGAAAAGAAATTCCCTCAACTGGGACAGAAATCTGCAGAAGAGGTAAGGAAGATGCTAGTTTGAGCAGGTTTCACTTCCTAGAGCCAGTTTCTTCTTTGCAAAATTGAGACAAAAGTTGCCTCACTGAGGTCTTGTGAGGATTAAATGATACCGTGTGTGTAAAACACTAGCACAGATGCTAGCACAGTATCTGACATACATAGTAGATACTCAGTAAGTAATCCCAGATAATAATCACCCTGGTGGCCAAACGCAGTAGCTCCCATGTGAAATCCCAGCTACTAGGGAGGCTGAGGCAGGAGGATCACTTGAGGCCAAGGTTTGATACCAAACTGGGTAACATAGTGAGACCCCCCCCCATCTCAAAAAAAGGAAAAAAAAGAATTGCCCTGAGGAGACTATGCTCTAACTCATAAGACCCTTCCTTTTAGAGAGGAGGAAACTAAGGCCCAGAAAAAGGAAGAGATTTCGCCAGGGTCTCAGAAGTCAGACCCTGATCAGTAGCTGAACCCAGGCTAGAGCTGAAGCCTCCAGAGGAAGGGGAAGGAGAAAAGGAGTATCTCAGCTCCCCCAGCTGCTGGGCAGGACACTATCACTTTGCCAGGATCCTCTTCCCCTGGGTCCCCACTTCCCTGGACATGCTTGGCCCTCCTCACACCTTCCTCACCTCTGCACTCTCATGGACCACAGGACAAAGCCAAAAGAGAACTCTGCTATTTTATTTGTTATGTGAAAGGGTCTGGGTGTTTGTCTGGGGCAGCTAGATGGTCAGTCCCTGAAGACAAACAGGAGGCCTAAGAGGACACCCCAAGCAGGACCTTGCCTGGAGGATCCTGCACCAACAATCTGAGACTTCTCTAAGATGTTGAGGACCTCAGTCACTTTGATGCTCCCAATATGATGAAAATCTGCTAAGAGCTGGTTATATTCACGAGCACAGCCCATGAGGAGGAAGGTGGTATTGAGAAACCCTATAAGGAAGAGAGCGAGAAGTCAGAAACACTTTCAAGGCTCAAGAGCCCTGCCTTCAGCCAGGCGCAGTGGCTCACATCTGTAATCCCAGCACTTTGGGAGGCTGAGGTAGGTGGATCACTTGAGGGCTTTAGGCCAGGAGTTCAAGACCAGCCTGGCCAACATGGTAAAATCCCATCTCCATTAAAAATACAAAAATTAAGACAGGCATAATGATACATGCCTATAATCCCAGCTACTTGGGAGGCTGAGGTATGAGAATCACTTCAACCCAGGAGGAAAGGTTGCAGTGAGCTGAGATTGCATCACTGTACTCCAGCCTGGGCAATAGAGCAAGACTCTGTCTCAAAAGAAGAAAAAAAAAAAGCCCTCCCCTCTTCCCAGATGTCCCTCACAAAGCAGAACACCTGCTTTCCTGTCAGAGACTTAGCCACCAGGCATCTTCCCCATCCTCTTTGGAATTCATGGTGCCCAGTCCCTTGCAGCAACCCCAATCCTATCTCCAGATCCCACCAGCCTCTCTGAGATGTGAAGGCGCTGGACAGTGCCTGGCATAGAGCAGGCATTTGATAAACAAAATTCGTCTCCTCTCACCTGCCTGAAGTTTTAAGGTGGAACTGTAACACGTAGAGGCAGCCAAGGGGCAAGAACTGGTGGTGACAAAATTAGGGAGGCAATCCTTCAAGTGCTCGCCCACACAAGTTGGGCAACTATGTGATGCAGATGTGACAGACTTAGGAGCGCTGGCCTTGAGTTTCACAAAAGGCTCCAAATTGGTGAGGTTGTTGCAGAGATAAGACCGGCAGACGCGACTGTAGGAGGCAATGGACACTCCGGGTGGGGAGACAAGGTAGGAGACTTGTGCAGGATAAGACGGAGATGGGCTGCAGCCTTTAAAACCCACGACTCCCCTTGAGGTCCCTAAGGAGCAGAGGAGGAGAGAGCTCTGATCAGTGTCACTGGCCTCACCCAGAGTCCCCCTTCCCCCAGCTCTTTTGGCACCCACCCTGCCTCTCACCATCTTTGCCTCCCTCCCCAACCCGTGTCCACTCAGTGCAGCTGCACAGGACTCAGATCCTGAGGTCTCCATTCAAATCTCCTCATTCTTCCCCTGTAGGACCCCCCACAGAGCTCCTCTTTCTTTTATGCCCCTCCTCCAGGGATCTGCCCACCTCCATTCTACCCACTTATCCAGCCCACACCACTCTCCTGCTAGTGTCCTGACATTCAAAACATGTAATGATGGCCAGGTACGGTGTCTCACGCCTGTAGTCCGAGTACTTTGGGAGGCCAAGGCGGGCAGTTCACTTGAGCTCGGGAGTTCAAGACCAGCCTGGGCAACATAGTGAGACCCCCCCATCTCAAAAAATTTTTTAATATATGTGTGTATGTATGTATGTGTGTGTGTGTGTATATATATGTGCATACACACACACACACACACACACACACACACACACACACACAAAGGTAACTATCTGGAATTCCAATCTAGAGTCCCTGGGTGCTGGGAGTGGAGCTGGGGGTCAGAAGAGCAAGCAAAAGAAAATGGATCAAACCCAGCCTGCTTCACCTGTCTCAATGAACACTAGCGTCTCCTCGCAGCCCTCTTTCAGCTTACACACCATGTTCCTCATCAGAAGCCACTTCCAGTTATAGAAAGCAATAGCTCTGAACCTTGACGATGTTGCTTCATAGCACAAAAGAGCTCCAGCCCCTAAAAAGAAAATGCTCTCCCAGTCATTGGCCCCTCACATCACCTTCTGAGCCTTTGAACTGCCAACCAAGAGTTCAGCCCCCACAGATCCTGTCCCCTACGAAACCTACATACCCAGCCCTCCTTCTACTAGTGACATGAATTCAGCCTCCCACCTTTCTGGGTCTTATAGCATCCAGCCCCACAGGACATACGAGGCAGAGTAGAGATGGCCCCTAGGAGCCAGAACAGCTGCATGGGTCTCAAATGCTGGGGTCCCATGGTCCTGGGTCTGGGTCCTGAGTGCTAGAGGTTAGTCTGGAACCAGTTTCAGTCTGTATCCCAAGCCCAGTTTCTGTCAGTCCCCGAATTCTTTGTCCACCTGTCTCTGGGTCACTGTTTCTGGAACAGAAAGTTGATTGTGTCAGTTTCTGGGACATAGGCTCCCTCAGACCTTCTGGGTCACAGGTCTTCCCATCTCTACTATCTGCCCTCCAGTTTAACCTCCACCACCCACCATGTTAGCTTCTCAAAGCAGGACTCTCACTCTCTCACTTAGGTCTTCCCATTAGACAAGGTGCTGAGCAGAGAATCCTGGCTTATCCAGAGGTTCATTGATATGCAGGCTGTTCTCCAGCCAGAGGCAATGAGATCAGAGCAGCAAACGGATGCTTAAAAAACCAGTGTGTGTGTGTGTGTGTGTGTGTGTGTGTGTGTGTGTGTAAAAAACTAGTGTGTGTGTGTGTGTGTGTGTGTAAGTTAACATATCACTAAATAACCGTTGGTTTGATAAGGAAATTTAAAAGTATTTAAAGACTGGGAGTGGTGGCTCATGCCTGTAATCCCATCACTTTGGGAGGCTAAGGTAGGTGGATCACCTGAGGTCAGGAGTCCAAGATCAGCCTGACCAACATGATAAAACCCATCTCTACTAAAAATATAAATTAGCCAGAGATGGTGGCATGAGCCTGCAGTCCCAGCTACTTGGGAGGCTGAGGCACGAATCACTTGAACCCAGGAGGTAGAGGTTGCAGTGAACCGAGATCACACCACTGCACTCCAGCCTAGGCAGCAGAGAGAGATTCCATCTCAAGAAAAAAAAAAAAGTATTTAGAACTGAAAAATAATAAACATAACTACATAACACACACATTCACACACAGACACAGACATACACACATAAGTGCATGTAAAATCTACTGAAAACTGAATAAGGGCTGAAGTCTAGGTAATAGTATTATATACCAGCCCAGGCATCATGACAAAAAATAGAAAAATTGGCCAGGCATGGTGGCATGCACCATGGAGGACCGCTTGAGTCCCAGAGATAGAGGTTACAGTGAGCCATGACTGTACAAAGAGTATTGTACAAATGTCAACTTCTTGCTCATATACTATGGTGATATAAGATGCCCCCATGGGGAAGCTGGAGGAAGGATTCAAAGGACTCTATATACCACTTTTGCAACTTCCTGTGAGCAAATAATCATTTCAAAATTAGAGTTCTTTAAATCAAATCAAAATTTGAGACACAGCTAAAGCACTATGTAGAAGTAAATTTATACTTTTAAATCCGTGTATCAGGAAATATGAAGCATTAAAAAATAAGTATGTTCAAGATTTAGTTCAAGAAGTTGTATAAGGAACAACAAAGCAAATCTCTCCTATCCCAAAAAAAGAATGGAAATAAGGATAACAGAAATCAATGAAACAGTAAACAACAACAAACATTATTACACAAAAAAGATCCATTCTTTGAAAAGACTGAGTTCGTTCTCTAGCAAATCTGATCAAGGGAGTAAAGGGAGTAGAGGCAGGCTGGCACAGTGGCTCATGCCTGTAATCCCAGTGCTTTGGAAGGCTGAGCCAAGAGGATCGCTCAAGGTCAGCAGTTTGAGAACAGCCTGGGCAACACCCTGTCTATACCAAAAAAAAAAAAAAAAAAAAAAAAAAAATAATAATAATAATAATAATAATAAAAGGTTTAAAAATAAGCCAAGTGTGCGGGTGCCTGTAATTCCAGCTACTCAGGAGGCTAATATCAGAGGATCACTTGAGCCTAGGAGTTCAAGGTTACAATAAGCCATGACCACACCACTGTACTTCAACCTGAGTAACACAGTAAGACTTTGTCTCTAAAAAAGAGAAGGTGCAATAAAATACAGAATGAAAAACAGGAAGTAACAGACATCAGATGGGTTTTTTGTTCATTTGTTTTGTTTTTGGTTTTGCTGGGGGCATGATCACAGCTGATGGCAGCCTCAAACTCCAGGGCTCAAGTGATCCCCTGCCTGAGCCTCCCGAGTGACTGGGACCACAGGCATAAATCACCATACCCAGCTAAGTTTTTGTATTTTTTTTGTAAAGATGGGTTTTGAAATACTGGCCAGGCTGGTCTCGAACTCCTTAGCACAAGTGATCTGCCTGCCTTGGCCTCTCAAAGTACTGGGATTACAGGCATGAGCTGCTTTGTCCAGCAAATGCAGCATTACTGTGGTGACGGTTAAGTTGAGACAATGGGAGCTTCCCCCTCTGAGACCAACTGAATGCAAAACATGCTGGGGATGTTCACTACAGAATATTACACAGGAGTAGGAAGTAGCTGATTAGATATACACAGGATGGGCCGGGCGCGGTGGCTCAAGCCTGTAATCCCAGCACTTTGGGAGGCCGAGGCGGGTGGATCACGAAGTCAAGAGATCGAGACCATCCTGGTCAACATGGTGAAACCCCGTCTCTACCAAAAATACAAAAAATTAGCTGGGCATGGTGGCGCGTGCCTGTAATCCCAGCTACTCAGGAGGCTGAGGCAGGAGAATTGCCTGAACCCAGGAGGCGGAGGTTGCGGTGAGCCGAGATGGCGCCATTGCACTCCAGCCTGGGTAACAAGAGCAAAAAACGCCCTCTCATAAAAAAATAAAAATAAAAATAAAAATAAAAATAAAAAATAAAAAATAAAAAGATGTACACAGGATGTGAGGCAGGGTGCAGTGGCTCATGCCCCTGTAATCCCAGCACTTCGAGAGGCCAAGGAGGGCAGAACACCTGAGGTCAGGAGTTCGAGACAAGCCTGGTAAACATGGAAAAACCTCATCTCTACTAAAAATACAAAAATTAGCCAAGTGTGGTGGTGGGCGCCTGTAATCCCAGCTACTCAGGAGTCTGAGACAGAAGAAGAATTGTTTGAACCCGGGAGGCAGATGTTGCAGTAAGCCGAGATCGCATCATTGCACTCCAGCCTGGACAGTAAGGGTGAAACTCCGTCTCCCAAAAAAAAAAAAAAAAAAAGATATACACGCAATGACAGGATGTGTACATGGATAGATCATAAAAGCACAGGGCCAATTATTTTAAATAGTAAATAGCATAATATCACTTGCATAAATTAAAAACTCAAACACAGGTCACGCATGGTGGTTCATGCCTGTAATCCCAGCACTTTGGAACTTTGGAGGGCTGAGGCAGGCAGATCATTTGAGGCCAGGAGTTCCAGACCAGACCAGCCTGATCAACATGGCAAAACCCCATCGCTAAAAAAAAAAAAAAAAAAAACACGTATTCTGTGAGAATACACACACACAAACCAAAAGATGCATATTAACCACTTTAGAATGAGAACTGCCTATGAGAAGGTTAGGGAATGAAAGTGGGTAATTGGTGGAAACAACAGTGTGGGAGGGGCTATAAAGATCACAGACTTTGGCCTCAGACACCCAGGTTGGAATATTTACGCCTTCGCTTACCAGCTGTCCAACTTGTTGAACTCTGAGCCCACTACCTCATTTATAAAATGGAGTATAGCCGGGCGCGGTGGCTCAAGCCTGTAATCCCAGCACTTTGGGAGGCCGAGGCGGGTGGATCACGAGGTCGAGAGATCAAGACCAACCTGGTCAACATGGTGAAACCCCGTCTCTACCAAAAATACAAAAAATTAGCTGGGCATGGTGGCGCGTGCCTATAATCCCAGCTACTCAGGAGGCTGTGGCAGGAGAATTGCCTGAACCCAGGAGGCGGAGGTTGCGGTGAGCCGAGATCGCGCCATTGCACTCCAGCCTGGGTAACAAGAGTGAAACTCCGTCTCAAAAAAATAAATAAATAAATAAATAAATAAATAAATAAAATGGAGTATAATACATCTCATAAGGTCATTGTGAAGATCAATAAAATTATTACCGTGTTAGACAAAGGCTAAGCTCTTTATAAATGTTAGTTACCCTGTTCCTCCACCACCATCCCTCCCTTCAACTCACACTTCCTCTCACTCTCTCTCTACTACCTAAAGGATCAAATTCAACCTCTTTAACTAGCCTTCAAGCCTCCCCCGACCTGACCTCACCCCACATCAACGCCACCTTTCCAATTTTATCTAGGACAGCTCCCCTGCCCAGCAGTCCAGCTAGAGGTCACGTTGGCCACCCTTTTCTGTCTGCAATGCCCAGACACACATGCTCTGTAACCCAGAAATCTGTGGCCAGCAAAGGTGCTAAGACCCGCAGAAAAGTGGGGACACAGGAAAGAGAAATGAAGTTTGACAAAGGATCTCACGGTGGGGGCGAGGGGGGATTAGGCCAATCAGAGAAGATGGCACACGTCAGCCTGAGATGCAGAACGACAGGACCCAACAAGCTGAGTGTAAGTGGAGACTCAACCAGAAAAGACTGAAATGAAATCCTCAATCCTCAAAGCGGGGGGGTGGTGGGGGGGGAAGCATGGAGCAGTTAGAGGGAAGCCACCCCTCTGGGTGGAATGGAACCTTGCAGGGAGACAGTGGACCAGCAGAGAGAGGGAGGCACAGGAAGATGAGGAGTGGGGCACAAAGGCGGGGCTCTCAGGGAGGAGGAGTCAATCTCAGAGCGGGGAAGAGAAAAGGACACGGAGCGGGGCGACAGAGAAAAAGGGCCACGGCAGAGAAGATGGAGGGGATGGCGCGAGACGAAGGTCACGGAGACACCCAGAGAAGGCGACGATTGCACACAGCCGCCCCTAAAGGGGTGAAATCTTGGGGGATATTAAAGAGAAAGGCGGAGCCAGCCAGAAATTCAGAGAAACTGGAGGTGTCCCGGGTAGCGAAGGAAGGGCGGAAGGGGCCGAGCTATCAGGGAATGAAGAAGCACGGGGAGAAAGTGGGTCCGAAGAGAGAGAGGGTCCGAGAGAAAACGAAAAATCAGAGACTGGGAAAATCACAGCCCGTAGGATGACAGGAAGAGACACAGGGAAACGGGCGCAATCTGAGGAGGAAGGGCCCGGTAAGCAAAAAAGGGAAATCACAGGGCTTAGGGAGAACGCATAAAAGAAGGGGAGCTCGGGAGCTGAGGCACCGGGAGAGAAACAATAGAAAACGCGGGCGTCCACACAGCAACGGCGAAGTCGAAGTAGAAGGCAAAGGCAGGCCGGAAGCGAGGCTGCGCGTGCGCAGACCGTGCTTGGTCAACGCCCCGGGGGCGGAGCCAGGCGGACCGTTCCTGGGGGGCGGGCCCAGCCTCGGTCCAGGAGGCAGTACTCGACGCCCCATTGGCCACTCGCGTCCAAAGGGGAAAGGCAGTCTGGGCAGGCAGGACGCGCGGAGGGAGGGGCAGGGGTGGCACGAGACTCATCTCGAAGCGCGGTTGGCTGGACTGATAGTCTCGCGCACCTAGACGCTAGCAGAAAGGAAGGGGGCAGGACATCAGTGCAGGGCCTCAAACCCCATTGGTCGCCCGCCTCGGCCGAGAGAGACGGTGCTTGAAGCTCATTGGTCCTCGTGACACAGCGCGGGAAAAGCAGCGCGAGCTTGGCCGTTCCTCGGGCCACTTTTCCGCGGTGTCCTTAGGCGTCTTCCTGACTGAATCTGACTTCACTGGAGGCGGTGGTAACCGTGAACTGGCTGCGCGAACACGGCCCCTCCTCCCTGTCCGTCCTCCTTCCCTAAACTCCCTACCCCAGAGCATCCCCTCACCTCCCCCTCGCGCCCCTCGCCTCCCTCGCGCCCCCATCCCCTTCCCTGCCTCGCGGGCCCCTTGGCGTGTTCCCCATGCCCCACTCGCTCCCTGGGGCGCAGGAAGGAAGGAGGGAGGAGAGAATGCATGAAATTAATCGTGGGGAGTGGGCACAGGAGCAGGAAGCACTGGGCACAGCGACTGCTCGGGTTTACACAAAATCCTGAACAACATGTGGGTGCAAGAGAGACATTAGTGCCCCGAGGAGAGGGCTTTTTTTTTTTTTTTTTTTTTTTTTTTTTTTTTTTTTTTTGCCCAGATCAGGGCTTAGCACATGGCAGGGGCTCAGTAACCACTGTGGAATGAATGAAGGAGTGAAGGAAAATAACTTGAAAGCAGGGCAGGTGGCGGGCACAGTGGCTCACACTTGTGATCCCAGCGCTTTGGGAGGCCGAGGCGGGCAGGTCCCTTGAGGTCAGGAGTTTGAGACCAGCCTGGCTGGCCAACATGGTGAAACCCTGTCTTCTACTAAAAATACAAAAATTAGCTGGGCTTGGTGGCAGGCACCTGTAATCCCAGCTACCCGAAAGGCTGAGGCAGGAGAATCACTTGAACCCAGGAGGCGGAGGTTGCAGTGAGCCAGGATCACGCCACTGCACTCCCGCCTGGGCTGAAGAGCAAGACTCCATGCCAAAAAAGGAAAGAAAGGGCAGGAAGGAAAGAAGAAGGAAGGGAGGGAGGGAGGAAGGGACAAAAGAAAAAGAAAAAAAGTGGGACAGGGAAGCTGAGCGCAGTGGCTGCAGCCTGTGGTCCCAGTTACTCGGAAGGCTGCTGTGGGAAGATTGCTTGAGCTCAGGAGGTGGAGGCTGCAATGAGTCATGATCATGCCACTGCACTCCAGCCTGGGCGACAGAGCGAGACTCTGTCAACAAAAAGAAAGTAGAGCAGGGAATCCATGAGAATAATGTAATTATTGGGGGTACAAGAGAGGATTCTGATTTCAAGGGGTACAAGAACAAAATAATACTGAAGGAATGGAAGGAGACAGTTGCCTTGCAGGGCATAGATGAGACTAAGAATTGAAAGGGGGATAAAAGTATCAGTAGGCATTGGATAAATGCATGAGGGTGGGGTGAGCATTGTTGAACAGGATGCCAGGAAACACTGTTGGGATGGAACAGGGTGCTTGTGAAGGGCCAAGATCACGCCACTGCACTCCAGCCTGGGAGACAGAGCAAGACTCCAACTCCAAAAAAAAGAAAGAAAGAACACAGAAGAGTAAAAGGAGAGGAGTTTCTTAGGAAGGAAGATACCTGAGAAAGCTCATGGGGTAAAGAGGGAAGGAAGCCAGGGAAGAAGGCAGGATTGGGGAAGGGAAGTCTAAAGAGGGGCAAGATGGAATCCTGCAGATGTGGTCCTCAGGGCAGGATGGTTGTTAGGGGCAGGCCCACCTGGTCATGCTGACCCTCCACTCCTGCCCCTAGATCCATGGAACCCAGTGACATGCCTGCTGGCCACCATTGCCCCTCAGACTCTGCCCTTCAGGATGAAACCAGAGACCCCCAGGGCACAGAGCTGATCCCCAGGAAAGCCATCAGTCGCTCTCCAACCTGCGCCCGCTGCCGCAACCACGGCGTCACCGCCCACCTCAAGGGCCACAAGCGCCTCTGCCTCTTCCAGGCTTGCGAGTGTCACAAATGTGTCCTCATCCTGTGAGTATGAGGTCTGGGAGGGGAGGAGGTTGGGCCTCATCCAAAGAATCGCTGACCTTTGACTCACAACTCCCCACTTTTAGGGAGCGCCGCAGGGTCATGGCTGCCCAAGTGGCCTTGCGTAGGCAGCAGGAGGCCCAGCTGAAGAAGCGCCTGATAAGGAGACGGGAAGCCTCTTCCAAAACTCCCAGCCGCATCAGAAAGGTCCCCTGTGAGTGTCTTTGACCAGCGATGGGGCAGGGGTTTTAGTATAGCAAGCAGATGTGGGAAAAAGAGGCCAAGCCCTGCCGCTGAATTGGTGTGCGACCTTGACTAAGGGTTTCTACTCCCTCTGCCTCGGATGTCTCAGTGTTGGGAGAATGCAGCAAATTCTGTGGGTCAAAAGTGAGCTGGAGGGGGAGATGAGAACTGTCTGGGGTTGGGGTAGGATAAGGGTCAGGAGAAAGGGCTGACTAGAGCTATCCCTGGTCCTTCACAGCTGGAAAAGAGAACATAGCACCCCAGCCTCAGATACCCCGTGGGGCAGTCCCGCTGGCACTGACACCCCCTGGGAAGGTAAGGAGAGGCTGGGGCCTGAGAAAGTGCCCCCCACCCTAGTTCCTACCCAGACCCTTTCTTCTGTGCCCTCACCTGGGTTCTAGTCCCAGCCCTGGCTTGCTATATAATCTGGTCAAATTACTGCTCTTCTCTAGGCAAAATGAGGGATGGGACTTTAAGGCCCTCCCAGCTCTAAAGTTTTGGGGTTCTGCCCACATGCCAGAATAAGCTCACTCCTTCTCCAGCCTTGTACCCAACTCCAGTCCTGTGCCCTCTGCCCCTGCAGGAGAACTCCTGTGGGCCTCTGCTACTCAGCCGTCCCTTGGAAGCCTTGCCCTTTTCCTGGACTCCAGTGCCTCCTGGCCCCTGGGTCCCTGGACACTGGCTGCCTCCAGGCCTCTCCATGCCATCACCAGTGGTATGCCGCTTGCTGTACCAAGATCCGGCTGTCTCTCTGCCTGTCTTTCCTGGTACGATGATAATTCAACAGATACATTCGTGTCAATCTGCCACATATTGGGAGAGGAGGAAGAGGGCACAGGTGGGGAGAGGGAGGAAAGAGACTGACCTTGACCCCTATACACTCTGCATTCTCTTATTCTCATTAGGCTTTGACCCTGGCACCTCCCTCCCGCTGCCCACTCATGGGCCCTTCACCACCTGCCCAGGATCTCACCCAGTACTGACAGCTCCTCTTTCTGGAGAGCCCCAAGGGCCCCCTAGCCAGCCCCTCACGTGAGTAGGGAGAGAAGGATGTGTATCATGAGCCTAAGCCTGTGCTGGACACCACAGTGGATAATGAAGAAGAAAAGGTCTCAGACTAATAGGCAAGGCAGAGCTCTCCTAGTACTGCCATTTCCTAGCTGTGATGCTTTGGGAAATTAGCTTTACCTCTCTGAGCCTGTTTTTCTATCAGTAAATTGGAGACACTATTATATTACTTACCTCCCTGGTTGTTGTAGGAATTATCAATAACGTATGGACTAGACGTAGCACAGACTCTTTAACAGTAGCAATTTTATCTGCTTAAACAGATTTAATGGGGTAATCTGATATGGGGGTCAGTGATGGTGAGAGCCTCAGAGACCCCGGAAAGGGGCCAGAGGCCATTAGGGAAAGCTCCCCAAAGCTGAGCCAAGCTCTCCTTCAAGTTCTATGGGAATTGGGGAACTGGAAAGGGAGACCCAGACTCTGGTAGGGCAGGGACAGTAATCCCAGCTAGGTGTTTTTTAAAAACTGACATCAGGCAGGGCCCAGTGTCACCTGTAATCCCAATGCTTTGGGAGGCTGAGGTGGGAGGATCACTTGAGGCCAAGAGTTTGAGACCACTTGAGCAACAGAGTGAGACCCTGTCTCTACAGAAAAGTTAAAACTTAGCCCAGAATGGTGGTGCACACCTGTTTTCCTGGCTACCTAGGAGGCTGAGGTGGGAAGATGGCATAGGCTGAGGAGTTCGAGCTTATGATGAGCTATGATCACACCGCCACTGCACTCCAGCCTGGGTGACAGAGCAAGACCCTGTGTCAAAAAAAAAACAAAAACAAAAACAAAAAACACAGGTGATTTCCTATAATCCTCACAGTAGCCCTGGGAGGAAAGAGTTGGCAGGGATTTTTACTTTACTGAAAATAAAATAAGTCAACACAGGGGATGGGGACTTAGCTGCACAGCTTAATGGGCCAGCAGGCTCTCAGATTCCCACATCAAAATATGGCAAAATCCTGCCCCTCTTTCAATGTGTACATGTCTGTTCATGTGTTTAACCACCCTGGCATCTTCTCTCCTTGTTTCTAGACACTCAACTCTGATACTCCAGCCCTGTGGCACCCCAGACCCTCTTCTGCTACAGCCACAGGTCCTGGGAAAGAAGTGGGATCTAGGACGCTGGGAGGAGGTTGAGCCTGGGGAAGGGAAAAGCAGGAGACTGTGAAGGAACCAGGGGCTGAGGAACACTTAGAGGGTGGGCAGAAGTGGGGGTTCCCAGTCTGCTTCTCTTCCTTTCCCTTGCAGGCCTCTGGAGCCTCTCGCCTGGCTCGGATATCTGCCTCCTCAGAGCGGCAGCTGCAGCAAGAGGCAGCTGAAGCCCTTGTGGGGCTGAAAGATTCATCCCATGCTCCTCGTGTGACCCCTTTTGTGCCCCCGAACCCTGCCTGGATCTCCCTGCTTCACCCCTGTGTCCCACCAGGTAATGTGTTCCATGAAAGAGAGGATGGGATAGGGATGGTTGGGAAATGGAGGTCACTGAAGTACACAGGGACAACCAAGGAGATGAGGGGGTCGGCAGGTTGAACGTCCTCAGGCCCAGGCCCCCAAGCTCCTCAGACTGGCCCGTGGGATTGCAGCTGCGAGTTGTTCAGTGAATCCATTTTATCAGTTTTGTACTCGACAGCAAATTTCTTGATGTCAAGGAAAGTGGGGCCCTGAGAAAGGCAGAGACTTGCCCAAAGGCATATAGTGAGACAGTGACAGAGAACCCGACACTGTGTCTCTGGACCCAGGCTGCCTGCTGAAGTCTGGAGTGGGGTCTGGCCCAGGAGGAGGTCTGATAAGTGCCTTCAAGGAGTTTCTGTTCTAGTTGGGGAACTTGGATGCCTTCACAAGACTTAGTGACAAACCTGGAAAAGACTGGAGGATTGAAGAGTGAGAACAACCTATGGGGACAGACAGGGAAAGCTGCGAAGTCTCCTCTCCAAATAGTGGATTGGACAAACTGGCCTGGAGGAAGTGCTAGAGCAGAGGGAAAGGAGGCTAGAGAGGCTTCTGATGCTGGAGACCCTGCCAGGCTTAGGTGTCTAGACAAGCAACTGTACATGAAGGGGAGCCAGGGAACGTTTCTGAACTAAGCAAGGACAAATTCAGAGACCATGAGCTTTAGAAGGACAAGTAGATGGCTTTGATGGAGGGTTTGGAGGAGGCAAGACTGGAGGTAGGAAAATCAGCAAGGAGGTCTGTGAAACAATCCAGGAGAACAAAGATGAGGCCTGAATTGGATGCGGTAAAAAGAGGGGATTGCTAGGAGGAAAAAAGGATGTGGTCTGATCCTGCCCCTTCCTTCCTGCCTATAGCTCCTGCTGGAGGAAGAGGATTCCAGCCTGTTGGCCCTGCTCTTCGACCCAGCCCAGCCCCTTCTGTTGCTCTACATATTGGCCGTCTGGGGTCCATCTCCCTCCTGAGCTAGAAACCAGAGATGGAGGCTGCCTTGCTGTAGCAGGGAGGTGACAGCCTGCTGGCACTGTGTATTTAGTCTTTTACTTCGGGATTTATGCATGGAATTTAATGTAGTACAAGCTTCGGGCCTTTTTATCTTAAGCTTTCAGGAGCTTCATTAGCTTTCAGTTCCTTTTGTATTGTGGGCATTTCCTTGGCTAAAGGTGGATATTCTTGATATTCTTGTACCCTTCTTGGGTCTTGGGACCTATTGAAATCCCCAATAAAGGGATAATTGTGCTCTTTAAGCTGACCAATATCTATAAATGTGTTTGCATGAGTTTATATCCTGGGATCCCATGATTCCATACATACCTATGCACTCATGTCTGTCTCCATGCCTGTGAAAACAGGAGAGTGCTTTCATTTTGTGTCTAGGTTTGTGTGAGTAAACAAGAAATAAACCTTTGTTGTTGTAAGCCACGGAGATTTGGGGATTGTTTGTTACCACAGCCTAACCCAGTCTATCCTGACTGACAGAAAGGACTTGTTCAGTTCACTTCTCAAAGTGAAAATCAGTTTTCTAGTACCTACCATAGATAAACACAAACTTGGATTTTTTTTTTCCTTTGGCCAAATAAAAATATTATATGGGGAAATACAAGGGGATTCACTGATTAATTGCCCACTCTGTGCCAGGCATAGACGGTTTCCTGCTGTCTAGAGGGGCTACAAATGGAAATGCATACAGGACTGAGCAGATCAAATAAATGAGCAAAGAAGGCCAGGTGGACCCTGGCAAACGTGCCTAAGGAGCAACCTCCTTGTGGCCCTAGCAGATTACTGCCAGGCAGGAACGTGGACTCAGTGTTGATGCATCTTCTAATTTTTTCAAGAAAATCTGGAAAACTAGATTTCCATGCAAAACTTCTTAATTTTCTTTTTCTTTTCCTTTTTTTTTTTTTTTTTTTTTTGAGACAAAGTCTTGCTCTGTCCCAGGCTGGAATGCAGTGGTGCAGTCTCGGCTCACTGCAACCTCCACCTCCCAGGTTCAAGCGATTCTCCTGCCTCAGCCTCCCAAGTAGCTGGGATCACAGGCACATGCCACCATGCCCAGCTAATTTTTATATTTTTAGTAGAAACGTGGTTTCACCATGTTGGCCAGGATGGTCTCGATCTCTTGACTTTGTGATCTGCCTGCCTCAGCCTCCCAAAATGCTGGGATTACAGGGGTGAGCATGTCGTCCAGCCCAAACATCTTAATTTTCAAATGTTCGCTCCGTTTTCTTCTTTACATTCTATATGTGCCAAATAAAACATATCTTCAGGCTAGCTTTGGCCAATTGAATACCAATTTGATACTAATCTAACATGACATTTTCCACATGGGGAAATTGAGGCTAACCAGAATAGGAAGAATCAAGTTAGTCTTCACCACTAAGAGGTGTTTCCTCAACTAGGGAGGTTCGTGTGTCTAAGTTTTTTGTTTGTTTGTTTTTGGGGTTTGAGACAGAGTTTCGCTCTATCACCCAGGCTAAAGTGCAATGGCATGATCTCAGCTCACTGCAACCTCTGCCCCCTGGGCTCAAGTGATTCTCTCACCTCAGCCTCCTAGAAGCTGGAATTACAGGTGCGTGCCACCACACCCAGCTAATTTGTGTATTTTTAGTAGAGACAGGGTTTCACCATGTTGACCAGGCTAGTCTTGAACTCCTGACCTCAAGTGATCCACCCACCTTGGCCTCCCAAAGTGCTGGGATTACAGGTGTTAGCCACCCCGCACTCGGCCTAAGTTTCGAAGGATCCATAAAAGGCTAAGAAACACTCATAGGCCGGGCGCGGTGGCTCAAGCCTGTAATCCCAGCACTTCGGGAGGCCGAGGCGGGTGGATCACGAGGTCGAGAGATCGAGACCATCCTGGTCAACATGGTGAAACCCCGTCTCTACTAAAAATACCAAAAAAATTAGCTGGGCATGGTGGTGCGTGCCTGTAATCCCAGCTACTCAGGAGGCTGAGGCAGGAGAATTGCTTGAACCCAGGAGGCGGAGGTTGCAGTGAGCCGAGATCACGCCATTGCACTCCAGCCTGGGTAACAAGAGCGAAACTTTGTCTCAAAAAAAAAAAAAGAAACACTCATTACCATTTACTGAGTGCCCACTGATTTGACTCCCATATCCTCACAGCAACCCTGTAAGCTATACATGATGGTTCTCATTTTACAAGTGAAGAAACAAGCTTCAGGAGGCAACATGACTGCTCAAGAGTTTCAGGGAAAATTTCTAGACAAAGGTCAGAGAAGGGTTCCTTCTCTTTGCCAGGTTCCAAATTAGTTAATAATGTTTATAAAACATTGTACCGGGTGTGGTGGCTCACGCCTGTAATTCCAGCACTTTGGGAGGCCAAGGCAGGAAGATCATTTGAGCCCAGGAATTTGAGATCAGCCTAAGCAACATGGTGAGACCCTGTCTCTATAAAAAAAATAAAAGCAGAGAGTGAAAGATGTACCAATCCTTTCCCTAATCAGGACTTCAAAAGACAGATACAAGTCAAGAACTTTTCAAAAAAGTTTTTTTTTTTTTCTTTTCTGCTTTACCAGGAACATCAGAGAATTTTTTTTTTTTTTTTTTTTTTTTTTTTTTAGACAGTTTCACTCTTGTTGCCCGTACTGGAGTGCAATGGCATGATCTCAGTTCACTGCAACCTCCGCCTTCTGGGTTTAAGCCATTCTTCTGCCTCAGCCTCCCAAGTAGCTGGGATTACAGGCATGCACCACCAAGCCCAGCTAATTTTGTATTTTTAGTAGAGACAGGGTTTCTCCATGTTGGTCAGGCTGGTCTCAAACCCCTGACCTCAGGTGATCTGCCCGCCTCAGCCTCCCAAAGTGCTGGGATTACAGGCATTAGCCACTGCGCCCAGCCTTTTTATTTTATTTTATTTATTTATTTTTTTTTTTGAGATAGAGTTTTGCTCTTGTTGCTCAGGCTGGAGTGCAATGGCATGATCTTGGCTCACCAAGATCATGGGTTCAAGCGATTCTCCTGTCTCAGTCTCTTGCGGAGCTGGAATTACAGGCATGTGCCACCATGCCCAGCTAATTTTGTATTGTTAGTAGAGATGAGATTTCTCCATGTTGATCAGGCTGGTCTTGAACTTCCGACCTCAGGTGATTTGCCTGCCTCGGCCTCCCAAAGTGCTGCAATTACAGGTGTGAGCCATCATGCCCAGCGAAAGTCTTTTATTTTTGTACTTATGATACCATTAACAATAAGATCTTACTTGCATTTGTTTCTTAGTCCTCTGGTGTCAAGTCCTTGTCCTTGAACCATTCCATACATATGAAAACTTGCTGAGCTCTTCCAAAGATGTGAACACTGGAGACCCCTCTTCCCATTCCCACCTTTAGAAGGGCTCAAAGGATGTGCTTGATCTTAGTCTCCCAAGTAGCTGGAATTACAGGCATGGGCCCATAAAAATTACTGATTCCTTTTCCTGATGTTACCTACACCCCTTGTTTTACTCAAGATGATTGATGGTGATGACATTCAATTACAACTTGTTCTTTCTTGTTTGGAATTTTCAGAAGGTGGGTTTCTTCTCCTCCCTAACAGATTACAGAGTAGTAAAACCTGCAGCACTTCTCAGCAGGTACTGTGAGACATCAAGAGACTAAAGTCGGCTCCATACCCTTCTTTCCTCCCCTTAGCTATTACTTAGATATATGATTGCTCCTTAATAGACCTGCCGAAGACTTGGTGTGCCATGCTTTCCTAGAGACAGATGACCAAGGGCACAAAATCACAGAGAAAGGAAGCACTGCAGCGTGCACCCTGGCTGAGACTCTGCTACTCGGCGCTGACCAAGGGTCCCCTGTACACCAAGGTCACACAGCTGAGAAGGGTAAAAGAGAAAGCATAATTTGGGATTAAAGGACGGTATGAAAAGGGGAGGAAAAGAGGGAGTGATGGAGATTAGGGGAAGGAGTGGAGAGCAGGCCCCTCTTCACAGGCCCTTCTCATTTCTCTGCAGCCCACCTCTCCTTCAGTGCCTGGCCTAGCAAGGCTTTTCACTCCACTGGCCAGGCCAACTTTGTCTTTCAAATCATTAGGGTGCCTCATTAGTGCCTGAGAGAGAGGGCCAGAGCTTCTGCAGATGTATGTCTTAAGGAAAAGAGCAGATTTAAGAATTGCTCATGCTCCTAAGTTGTTGCCTGTTCAAGAGCAGCAGTCTTCCCCTGTGGTTGAGGGGAGCCACAGGCGTGTGCCACCACACTCGGCTGATTTTTGTATTTTGAGGAGAGACAGGGTTTCTCCATGTTGGTCAGGCTGGTCTCTAACTCCTGACCTCAAGTAATCCACCCGCCTTGGCCTCCCAAATCCACCATCTTTTCATGGCTTGATAGCTCATTGAATAATATCCCACTGTTTGTAGGTACTGCAGCCCCAAACCATTTTTAAAACTGTGTTTAAAGAGGTTATTGAAAGAGCTTGAGCATCTTCAGTTGTGGCTTCAAATCCCAGCTCAGGCTTTAGCCTTATGTGACCTTGGACAAATGACTTGACTCTAAGCCTCAGTTGACTGGTCTATAACCACCTCACAGAGTTTTCAATTATGAACCTGTAAAAACTAACATGTACAAAAGTTAACACCAGGCATACAATGCTGAGAAACTGTGTTCTCTAAAATCACAGACTGTCAGAATTTTGCTCTTTAAAATCAATAATATAGTGAGAATGGACATCTCATTCTTACCTGGAAAGTCAAAGTCACTTTGACACAGAGAAGCAGTCATAATCTCCAACTCAGGTGAGAGCTTCAGAGAAGTGGGTTTTAGAGACAACACAAAACATTTATCTAAACTTTCTAATGTCCCAGGAAATAGAATCCTGGGTCTGTTCCTAGCCCAGGCATTCATTACATAAATGCGCACCTGCTTTGCCTTATGTCCATCAAAACTCTGCTTTATATAAATTTTACCTAAGCTTCACTCTTCCCAATATCCTATATTCACCCTGTCTCTTCCTTTGGCCAGGCACTCCAGAGTTTCTCTGGAGAGCTTTAAAAAAAATTAAATTTAGGGCCGGGTGCGGTGACTCAAGCCTGTAATCCCAGCACTTTGGGAGGCCGAGGCGGGTGGATCACGAGGTCAAGAGATCGAGACCATCCTGGTCAACATGGAGAAACCCCGTCTCTACTAAAAATACAAAAAATTAGCTGGGCATGGTGGTGAGTGCCTGTAATCCCAGCTACTCAGGAGGCTGAGGCAGGAGAATTGCCTGAACCCAGGAGGTGGAGGTTGCGGTGAGCCGAGATCGTGCCATTGCACTCCAGCCTGGGTAACAAGAGCGAAACTCCGTCTCAAAAAAAAAAAAATTAAATTTAGTAAATTGACTCAAATGAATTATGTGTAGATGATTCAGAACTGACACTAGAAATTATTAAAAGTGGGGGCCAGGCACAGTGGTTCATGCCTGTAATCCCAGCACTTTGGGAGGTCGATGCAAGTGGATCACCTGAGTTCAGGAGTTCAAGACCAGCCTGGCCAATATGGTGAAACCTCATCTCTACTATAAATACAAAAATTAGCCAGGTGTGGCCGGGCGCGGTGGCTCACGCCTGTAATCCCAGCACTTTGGGAGGCCGAGG